CCTATTACCCGCTCCTCCAACCCTATTACCCGCTCCTCCAACTCTATTACCCGCGACTCCAACCCTATTACCCGTGCTCCCACCCTATTACCCGCGACTCCAACCCTATTACCCGTGCTCCCACCCTATTACCCGCGACTCCAACCCTATTACCCGTGCTCCAACCCTATTACCCGCGACTCCAACCCTATTACCCTGCTCCCACCCTATTACCCGCGACTCCAACCCTATTACCTGCGATCCAACCCTATTACCCGCTCCTCCAACCCTATTACCCCGCTCCTCCAACCCTATTACCCGCGACTCCCACCCTATTACCCGTGCTCTCACCCTATTACCCGTGCTCCCACCCTATTACCCGCGACTCCAACCCTATTACCCGTGCTCCCACCCTATTACCCGCGACTCCAACCTTATTACCTGCGATCCAACCCTATTACCCGCTCCTCCAACCCTATTACCCGCTCCTCCAACTCTATTACCCGCGACTCCAACCCTATTACCCGTGCTCCCACCCTATTACCCGCGACTCCAACCCTATTACCCGTGCTCCCACCCTATTACCCGCGACTCCAACCCTATTACCCGTGCTCCAACCCTATTACCCGCGACTCCAACCCTATTACCCGTGCTCCCACCCTATTACCCGCGACTCCAACCCTATTACCTGCGATCCACCCTATTACCCGCTCCTCCAACCCTATTACCCGCTCCTCCAACCCTATTACCCGCGACTCCAACCCTATTACCCGCGACTCCCACCCTATTACCCGTGCTCTCACCCTATTACCCGTGCTCCCACCCTATTACCCGCGACTCCAACCCTATTACCCGTGCTCCCCACCCTATTACCCGCGACTCCAACCCTATTACCTGCGATCCAACCCTATTACCCGCTCCTCCAACCCTATTACCCGCTCCTCCAACCCTATTACCCGCTCCTCCAACCCTATTACCCCTCCTCCAACCCTATTGCCCGCTCCTCCAACCCTATTACCCGCTCCTCCAACCCTATTACCCGCGACTCCAACCCTATTACCGTGCTCCAACCCTATTACCCGCGACTCCAACCCTATTACCCGTGCTCCCCCCTATTACCCGTGCTCTCACCCCCACCCACCCCTGGCGCCCCCTATGATGCGGCATCGTCCCCGTGAAGACGACTCGCAGCGGCGGTGACGGGATCGGGTCTGGGTCACGTGGTGCGAACCACACCACCACCACCCGAGTCCCAAACCAACCCCTCCCACCAATGCCCCCCCCAATTCCCCCCACCAATGCCCCCCCCCAATTCCCCCAACAATACCCCCCAACACCCCCACAATTTCCCTCCCCCCCCAAGAGTCATCACCACCACCACCACCACCACCTACGAACCCAGCTCCCCCCACACCCTCAACAGGCAAGGCGTACACGGGGCACAGCAACAACAACAACACACAACAGAGAGAGAGAGAGATGACGAAGCAGCCATGTCGTCGACGTCGATCCAGAGACGGGAACAAGAAGAGCGCTCACGCGGCAATCAGCCTCGGTGGGTGGCGGCGGCGGCGGCGGGAAGGTGGCGAGTCGATCGCACGTGACCACAACGCGGCATGGGGAGGTGGTCCGCGTGTGTGTGCGCGCGTGTTGTGCGTGCGAACGTGCGCGTGTCTGTCCGCGTGTGTGTGCGTGCGTGTGTGTGCGTGCGTGCGTGTGTGCGCGCGCGTGCGTGCGCGCGCGTGCGTGCGTGCGTGTCGCGCGTGAGTGCGTGTGTGTCCGCGTGAGGGTGAGGTCTTCATCCAGCTGGAGTGACAGTGATGGGAGCTTGTGGCTGCAGGCTGTTACCGCGACGAGAGGCGAACGCGACTACAATGACGGCCCCCACTTGTGTCGTGACGCACACAAACAACATCAAGCCGTTCTCGTATTTCATATCAGCAGCCATGGTCATCCACCGCTGGATGAAGGCCGCCCCCAAGCCTCCTCCCATCATCAATCGCAGCGGCGTGGCCACTCCACTGCTGATGAAGAGGCATCCTCCCCAACAACGTTACCCGTGGGACGATCTCGCCCCAGCACCCGCTGCGCGCCGGCTGATTTCACTGCTCCAGCGTCACTCTCCCTCTCCCCTCCCTCTCTCCCTCTCCCCACCCTCTCTCTCTCCCTTTTCCCTCTCCCCTCCTCTCTCTCTCTCCCCTCTCCCTCCCCTCTCCCCCCTCCCTCTCTCTTCCCTCTCCCCTCCCCCTCTCTTTTTTTACGATCAGAGGAAGCAAGACGATGCTCGGTGTCTCGGAACTTTGCTTCGTTCATCAGTTCGTTTTTTTATGCTTTGCTTTATGTAACCCCCCATCCACCATGTTCCATACCGGTCTTGTTGGGTGCACTTGTGCGAGTGCCTGTGCTTTGCACGTTTGGACTTCAGTTAACCCTCACGAAGCTTGACACGAGTAAGCTGGACTTTGGGGTAAGTTGGAGGCTCTGCTCCGAATTATCAGGTTTTACTGCACATGAGGGCACTCCAACTTCTACTACAGGGGGGAGCAGAGTTGATTACACACATGGTGCTCTTTAAATCCACTCGCACATCAGAGTGTGGGAAGGCGTGCTCCCCCTCCCCCCCTCCCTCCCCCCTCCCCTCCCCCCCCCCTCCCTCCCCCCCCTCCCTCCTCTCCCCCCCCTCCCTCCCTCCCCCCCCTCCTCCTCTCCCCCCCTCCCTCCCTCCCCTCCCCCCCCTCCCTCCCCTCCCCCCGCTCCCTCCCCTCCCCCCCCTCCTCCCCTCCCCCCCTCCCTCCCCTCCCCCCCCTCCCTCCCCTCCCTCCCCCCCCCCCCTCCCTCCCCTCCCCCCTCCCCCCCCTCCCTCCCCTCCCCCCCTCCCTCCCTCCCCTCCCCCCCTCTCCCTCCCCTCCCCCCCTCTCCCTCCCCTCCCCCCCTCTCCCTCCCCTCCCCCCCTCTCCCTCCCCTCCCCCTCTCCCTCCCCTCCCCCCCTCTCCCTCCCCTCCCTCCCCCCTCTCCCTCCCCTCCCCCCTCTCCCTCCCCTCCCCTCCCCCTCTCCCTCCCCTCCCCTCCCCCCCTCTCCCTCCCCTCCCCCCCTCCTCCCTCCCCTCCCCCCTCTCCCTCCCCTCTCCCCCTCTCCTCCCCTCCCCCTCTCTTCTCTCCCCCCCCCCCCCTCTCCCTCCCCTCCCCCCCTCTCCCTCCCCTCCCCCCCTCTCCCTCCCCTCCCCCCCTCTCCCTCCCCCCCTCCCTCCCCCCCCTCTCCCTCCCCCCTCTCCCTCCCCTCCCCCCCTCTCCCTCCCCCCTCCCTCCCCTCCCCCCCTCTCCCTCCCCCCCTCTCCCTCCCCTCCCCCCCTCTCTCCCCTCCCCCCCCCCCCTCTCCCTCCCCTCCCCCCCTCCCCTCCCTCCCCCCCTCTCCCTTCCCCCCTCTCCCTCCCCCCCTCTCTCTACCCTCCCTCTCCTCTCCTCTACCCGTGGCTGCCGCTCCCCAGAAAGTCAGCCCCTCCCCTCAATCCACTTTCTCCTCCACTCAGCCCACTCCAATCTCCCCCCCCCCCCCAGTCTCCCCCCCCCCTCAGTCTCCCCCCCCCCCTCCAATCTCCCCTCCAATCTCCCCCCCCTCCAATCTCCCCCCCCCCCTCCAATCTCCCCCCCTCCAATCTCCCCCCCCTCCAATCTCCCCCCCCCTCCATCTCCCCCCCCTCTCAATCTCCCCCCCCTCCAATCTCCCCCCCCTCCAATCTCCCCCCCTCCCTCCCCCCCTCCAATCTCCCCCCCCCCCTCCAATCTCCCCCCCCTCCAATCTCCCCCCCCTCCAATCTCCCCCCCCCCCCCTCCAATCTCCCCCCCCCCTCCAATCTCCCCCCCCCCTCCAATCTCCCCCCCCCCCTCCAATCTCCCCCCCCCTCCAATCTCCCCCCCCCCTCCAATCTCCCCCCCCCCTCCAATCTCCCCCCTCTTCCAATCTCCCCCCCCTCCAATCTCCCCCCCCTCCAATCCCCCCCCCCCCTCCAATCTCCCCCCCCTCCATCTCCCCCCCCTCCAATCTCCCCCCCCCCTCCAATCCTCCCCCCCCCTCCATCTCCCCCCCCCCTTCCAATCTCCCCCCCCTCCAATCTCCCCCCCCCCCCCTCCAATCTCCCCCCCCCCCTCCAATCTCCCCCCCCCCTCCAATCTCCCCCCCCCCTCCAATCTCCCCCCCCCCTCCAATCTCCCCCCCCCCCCTCCAATCTCCCCCCCCCCCCTCCAATCTCCCCACCCCCCCCTTCAATCTCCCCCTCCCCTCCAATCTCCCCCTCCCCTCCAATCTCCCCCTCTACCCCTCCTTCAACCCCGCCGCACCGGCCTGGATCTGCTGATGAGACCCCCAGGTGGTCCAAACCGGTTTCCGGATTGCTGAAGCAAATGCTGCTGCTGGGTAATATCGGGCTGGAGAGCCCCTCCCCCTCTCCCCCCCATTTCCTCCTCCCCTCCAAAGCCCACCCACCCATCCCCCGATAATTTCCACCCACCCTCCCAAACAATAGAACACAAATATCAACGCATTCGTCAATAAAGACACTTTGTGTGCGCGTGTGTGTGGGTGTGTGTTGCCTTTATAAACAAGTGTATAATAGGCGAGGTTTCGGGCTACGGTTCCTCTTCATGGCACGACTGTTTCCCGCAGCGGCGGTGCTGTTTAATGTGACACAACCCCCTTTGTCGACCCACTGCTGGATGAAGGGGGATGTGCGGCGTCGGTGGGTCGGTCGACCATGCTTCACCACCACGGTGGCGAGGTTCGGACTGGTGGAGACTCGGGGGCAGCGTGGACGTTGGAGCGCAGTGCCGTACCAACAATGGGCTGTCGCGACACCCCACTCAACCAGCCCAAGTGCCCGGCGTGGCCAGCAGAGGGCAGTGTGATAATAATAACAACTATTAAACGTAAAGCTGCACAGAAACTAAACTAAACATCACATAAGAGAAAGACGAATGCCGCGATTCCTTAGGGCACCTGAGACTCGTGTAAAACCCAAGAATCTCACCTCCAAGTACCCATCCAGCAGTGGATGGAGCACCGTGCCAGCCGCTACGCGAACAGCGTTGTCAGCGATTCGATGACGTCACGCTCATAACCTCCGCAATTACGTCATGGTCATGGAGGCGATCGTGACGTCATGCATTTAAACCACACAGGCGGTTGGGTATCTTCGGAGCGAAGCCATGGGCGGGTGGGAGGAGGGGGGCTTAAGGGGGG